CATAGAATCCTAGGACTGGAAGGGACCTCGAGAGGTCATCGAGTCCAGCCCCCCGCCCTTAAGGCAGGACCAAGCTCTGTCTACACCATCCCTGACAGATGTCTGTCTAACCTGTTCTTAAATATCTCCAGAGAGGGAGATTCCACCACCTCCCTTGGCAATTTATTCCAATATTTGACCACCCTGACAGTTAGGAATTTTTTCCTAATGTCCAATCTAAACCTCCCTTGCTGCACTTTAAGCCCATTACTCCTTGTCCTGTCCTCAGTAACCAAGAGGAACAAATTTTCTCCTTCTTCCTTGTGACACCCTTTTAGATATTTGAAAACCGCTATCATGTCCCCCCTTAATCTTCTTTTTTCCAAACTAAACAAGCCCAGTTCATGAAGCCTGGCTTCATAGGTCATGTTCTCTAAACCTTTAATCATTCTTGTCCGTCTTCTCTGTACCCTTTCCAATTTCTCCACATCTTTCTTTCTCTAGCCTTCTCTAGAGGTAAAGGCTATTTCAGTATCTTCAATGTAAGAGCCAGAAGAAGAAGATCATCAGATTACAGTGAGGCCATGCTAGCCTAGGCCAACCATAACTGCCTAGGAAGAGAATGAGGTGGTTCAGAAGCTTAGCTGAGATTGACCAATGGCAAATGAGTCTTGCAGATAATTAGGTCAGGTTTTCATCAACATCACATCATGCCATATAATTCTTCTTTGTGTGATTGCTTGTGTGCATTCCAATATATGTGTGCGCACACTGCATGCATGATCGTCGACAAATTTTCCCTAGCAGTACCCATTGGGTTGGCTTTGGAGCCCCCTGTGGTGATGCCTTCTGGTGTTATATTATACCCCTGATGCTCCAACTCCCACTTCAGTTCTTTCTTGCCACAGCATTTCGACAGGGGGGAGACAGGAGGGTGTAGAAAAGGTAAGTAATCGTTCTTTTGTCTTCGAGTGATTGCTTGTGTGCATTTCAATATGTGACTCACCAGCAGTTTGTACAAAGGAGGGGTCAGACCTCAGCTTGTTGCCGAGTGCCGGATAGCTCTGGGTAATGGCATAATGATTCATGAAGATATGCAAAGAGGACCATCGCCCTGCAAATGGCCTGAAGTGGAACTTGTGCCAGAAAGGCCTCTTAGCCCTGGAGGAATGGGCCATGTTAGCTGGAGCTGGCATCTTAGCCAAAGCATAGATGCACGTAGTGATCCAGGATGACAAGCGCTGCAACATATAATTGGGGATCCCTTCAGACCTAAGGTGCCATGATGAGGCCGAAGGACAGCACTGCATACTGACAATGACAGTTTGCCACCCCAAAATGAAGGAAATGATGGTTGGCGAGAATGATAAAGATGTGAAAATATGTGTCCTGAGATCGAGGGCAGTCAGCCCAGATCTTGTGAGGTGATTATTAAAAGCCAATCTGGAAAAAACAAGGATACAAATTGTATCCTGTTGTGCACTGGGTTAATTGTTCATATCCTGATGGCAAACTAAAACACAGATGTCTGTAGTATACTTTTTATCATCTGAGCAGGTGGATTTTTGTCACAGTTTGGATATCTTCTGTGCATACTGTATTTCCTTGTCCAGAAATCCATATTCAGGATGGAAACCTTGGGTGTTCCTTATCCAAAAGATAATCTCTCAGGACATTGTGTCAAGTGGATCTTTCTGTATGTGCTCATTCACCTGGTTAGCTACTGGATAGAATACTTTCGTTATGAACAGGAACTCTTAGTATGTGGACATTCCTTTTATCTTATCCGCTACTAAGGGTTTTTTTTTTCCCCAGCTGGTAAAGGTGGCTGCTGCACCAAGGAAGAGAAATGTCCATATTTTTCACTTCTTGGGTGCTCTTCTGACCAAATATTTTTTTCAAACCTGCCCAGATTTACCTCTATATTTACCTCTTCATTCTCCAAACTAATGAGAATCATCAGCTGGAAGAGGTGCTCGTTTTTCTTAGTTCAGGATCTGATATACCTGGAGGATCTGATTCTTGATTCATCAATCTGATATAGTCTCTTAAATCCAACACATGCTCCAGGCATTCATTTCAAGTCCACAGCTCTAAACAGGTACATAAGGCGGGTGAGATAACGATACCTTTCATTGAGCCAAGTTCTGTTGGTGAGAGAGACAAGCTGTTGAACTTACACAGAGCTCTTCTTAAGGTCTAAACCGATACAGTCAGGGTAATCCACTGGCAGGCCATGAGACATTTTGCTGACATTGACCATCTGCAGACATGGCCCCTCTTTGTCTGCCAATGGTTGCTGTTCACTGTTTCTAGCCAATGGGAGCTGTGGTGAAGGATATGAAGAAAACAAGAGATGGAGAATCTAACACTTCCCTTGATAGTTTGTTCCAGTGGTTGTTAACCCCCTCTATTAAAAAATCTCCATCGAACAAACCTGCTCAATATTCCACCCAGAATTATTCCACCCAGAATGTCCCTCATGTGTGGAGAATGGACACATTTTCATTCAGCTTCTTCTCTGAATTACATCTTCATTGCTTTAATTTCCCTGCTCTTCCTCTTGAGTAGTCAGGAAAATCCAGAGTGAAGATAATTTTGTCTTTCTCGTGGCACTCCAAGATACTTTGGTTTTGTTTCTTTCAAATGAGTCTTGGTGCTATGGCTTCCCCACCTCTCTCAGATTCTTAAGCGTCAGGGACCAATAATTCATCAGAACCAATGTGGTACATTTAACAACTTTGAGGTTGTCTGGATGATACTCCAGTCTTTTCCCCTCGAGCAATAGAGATTTTCTTTCCTTCCAGAAAGAAATCAACTACTCTGGGCTTACCAGTATAGTTGGGCATCATCTTCCATTCTCATCAGGCCTCCACTGGATTTTCACTAGTAATTCTTCTAAAGGGAGAAAGACCTTTACTAGTGGCTCATCATTTGACTACTGTACAGCACTAGCATTTGACTGGCAGTTCATTTTTATGTCTCACATTTCCTCAAGGCAATCAAATCTCGTAGATCTAGAAGTTAAATGGAGTTTTAATTTGGCAATTTTTTCTTTCATTGAAGGTTTCCTGTGACCCACTTGGAAAAGCTTCACTGCATCCAAATCAGGAAGTTCATTTTTAATTCCTTTAATCATAAATCATTTCACTTGAACAAAATAGTTCTCCTAACATGGTCATGCGCTCAAGTTCTCCTTCAATCAAAAGAGCCTGTTCCAAAAGTCTGATACTTTTGGCCCTTTATGTAGTAAGCATAATTATTGAAAGCTACAATCTTTAGATGTGCCAACATGACTTCCAAATAATTCTGCAATACTAAGTTTTTAAAAATGCATCCTTCGTAAATCTGTGTTTACTCTACTTGGCAAATTTTGTCAGGGCCAAGTATAGAATCTCATGAAGACATCTTAAAATCCACAAACTGGACCTCCATTCATTCACCAAGCATTACAAAGCTGTTATGGAAGCCTCTTTAGGGACCTTATTTGGGTGCAGAGTATTTCTGGTTGAACTTTGGATTTAGATTCTACCATTTAACAAAGTTCAGAATATTGGTTATTAAATGGTTGCCAATTATTTTGAGGTTTTTTTCCAGACTTCTCTCTCTGATTTTACAGTTTGCTGTTTCCCCAGTAGTTGTAGCTGACTTGTGGGGAAGCCACTCTGAGAACAGACTAATTTAGTCTCATTTGATAATTGGTTTTCTTACACAGTGGCCCTCTGCCAGAGCGGAATATCCTTCCCACTTTGTGTTTTTCCTAGGTTCCTTGCCTGAGTTTTCTAGCATTGGAGGCATGCTTCAGGTGTTTGGGTGGCTCTGAAAGACCAGGATCTAATACCTGGAGAAATAAATTTGCATATTTCTTCCTCCAGAAGCAAGTGGGTAGATCTTCTAGAGTATAGGTTCCCAAACTGGCGCGCATGCCCCCCTCTCCCGTGGGGGTATGAAGAAATTCTAGGGGGGGGGGGTGAGGTGACCCAACCTCTCCTCCTGTCCCTCCCGGTCAATACCTCCCCCAAGAAAAAGCCTGGTCCATCTGGTGGTAAAATTTCAGAAAATACCATATGAAATGTCTGGCATTTTCTGTTTTTCTTGATTTGGGCATCCGCTGAAACATGCATAGCTCAGGCTGGCTGGGGCCAGGGGAGGATGGAGCATCCCAGACAGACTTCAAAATGGCTGTCTTAAAAGAGCAATGCCTGCTCTGCTCTTAAAAGGGCAACTTTTTTTTTTCTCAAGTGTTTTGCTGCTATTTTTTTGGAGTGGGAGGGAGGGCATGAGGGTTTCTCAAAAATCAAAAAGGGGGCATGATGCCGAAAAGTTTGGGAACCACTGTTCTAGAGTAACTGAAAAGGACTTCTCAGAGAATATTACTTAACAGGTGAATATCAATTAACAGGTAAAAGACCATGTGGTCTGATCTCTTAGATATTTCCCTCAGATACAATCATATATGAACCTTTAATCTGACTTTGTTTAGGTATTATTATTATGCAGTTCAGCAAGTTTGTGGGAAAAAATGTGATCAGAAACAAATATGAGCATGCAAAAAAGAAATCACTTTATTTTTATGAGCTTTTGAACTATAAAGATTGCTACTCTCTTCCCCCCTTCCCCCAATTTATGCACAGTGGGAACCAGTAATTTTTTCTTTCTCCCACACTTTTCATCTCTAGATTTGCAACCCGTCTGGGCTTTTACTCTTTACTCCCATTCCAATGTATATGTATAGCACCTACCAGAATAGGGCTACAGTCTTACCTGAGCCTCTAGGAACGACTGTAATACAAGTAATAAATAACAAATGAGCCATAAGAATTATGAAGATGTCGCCATTTGTAGCCTGATTTTATAATTGTCAATGGCTATTTAGAGCAATTATAAACAACTGTTTGTTACAGAAGGTTATGAGTCAAAGACAAAAACATAATAAAATGATTTAAAATATTTTAATAGCTTTGACACTATGCAAAGTGTCAGATAACACCATTTCACATAAAATCTCTGCTCAATAATGAACAAAGTAATCACTTTAATATTATGAATATTTGCTATACATTTTGCTATATAATTTTCAGTGATTCTCGAATTTGGTTTTTCCAGACCAAGAAAATAAGTGTTTTCGCCTAGAGTGATTCCCTTTGCATAAAAGAGCTACATATTATGTATTATTGCTTAGGCTCAGAATAGTTGAACTCATGCTTATAAAGGCTTGTAGGTTTCTTTTTGCTTTATAGCAGAAGTGAGGAGGCATTAGAAAGAACATGCTTTTTAAAAAATCCTCTTTGAGATTATTTTACAGTACAGCAGCCAGTCTTCAAATGTCTGAGCTCTGTTACTTTCCCTTTTATTCTGCTCAGCCCTTAAATTCTTGCCCTTCTCACTGCATAACAGCCTTTTTCTTTTGGAAGTCTAATCTTCAGTTTTCCCAGTATTTGTTGGATCCAGAGCTGGAACTTCAAGATCCTTCTCAAGCACATACACTGTGTCAACATCAGAATGGTAAATTAAATCAGTTGGTTGGCTATTCCAGTGCAGTAATAAGAATTGTAAGCAATTTTTCCCTGAAAATATTTTGTCTTTATTTGTCAATACTGTATCTAGCCCTTTTACAACCTCAAAGGCATTCAAAATTGTGTATCACAAATCTTGTTAATGTGATCATGGGGGTATTGGTTCTATATTTCCCGATATGAAAAATTGCTTTTGGGAAATAGCTGCATTTTAATTATGTAAATATATTTTTTGGTAGGAATTGGACAGCCCCTTCAGGTTATATGGGCTTACAATGAACCCACTGCTTTATAATATCACCCAAGTTGTCATCCTGTCTGCCGTTTCTGGTGTTATCAGTGACTTGCTTGGATTTAATCTAAAGGTAATCACTTCCAGTACCATGTATTGACACAGAATGTACAAAGTGTCATAATTGTATATGTATAGTCACCTCAACTAAAATACATAGTAAAGTTCTGAATATTGTTTGTTTAAAAAAAAAAATCAAATGTAGCATACGAGAAATAGGATATCTTCATTTTATCCGCTAGAAAACTTTTCAAATTTTTCTTTCAACTTTGGACCTTTGTTTAGCAGATATAATTCTGTACAGGCTTAGTTAGTTTATTTAATCTTAAATATACGAAATTATCTCTGACTCTTGGCCATTGATTTGTTACTGCTAGCTTGTTTGCAGTTCTTGGAATGCTACAGAAAATGTGATTTTTGTCCCATAATATGCACGATGTCACAACATGATGTAAGATCATTTTATCGTACTACAGGTTGGACCTCCCTTGTCCAGCACAGTTGGGACCTGACTGGTCCCATACAAGAGAATTTGCCAGACCAGGGAAGCCTGATGGGGACTATTAAATACAATATGATGAGGACTAATTTAGCTAAAACTACTCGAGAGATCTTAGAATCATCGTGGATAGTTCTCTGAAAATATCCACTCAATGTGCCTCAGCAGTCAAAAAAGCAAACAATGTTATGAATCATTTAAAAAGGGATAGTGAATATCTTATTGCCTCTATATAAAATACCCAGATCTTGAATACTGCATACAGATGTGGTCACCTGATCTCAAAAAAGCTATATTAGTATTGGAAAAGGTTCAGAAAAAGGCAACAAAAATGATTAGGGGTTTGGAGCAGGTCCCATGTGAAGAGAAATTAAAAAGACTGTGATTTTTCAACTTAGAAATGAGGAGACTATGGGAGGGGGGATATGATAGAGGTCTATAAAATCATAACTGGTATGGAACATGAATAAAGAAGTAGGGGTCACCAAATGAAATAAATAGGAAGCAGGTTTAAAACAAACAAAAGGAAGTTTTGCTTCATGCAGTGCACATTCAACTCGTGGAACTCCTTGCCAGAGGATGTTATGATGACGAGCACTTTAACAGGGTTCAAAAAATAACTAGATAAATTCATGGGAGTTAGGTCCATCAATGGCTAGTAGCCAGGATGGCTAAGAATGGTGTCCATAGCTTGTGTTTGTCAGAGGGTGGACACTGATGACAGGAGAGGGATCACATGATGATTGCCTGTTCTGTTTACTCCCCCTCTGGGGAAGTGAGCATTGTCCACTATAAGAAAGGATACTATGCTAGGTGGACCTTTGGTCTGGCCCAGAATTGCCATTCTTACGATCTTATGTCTGCCACTAAGCCCATGCTGCCGGCAGGCTGCCCCAACAGGCACCCTGCCTCCCTCCTCCCCCCTCAACTGTCTGTGTTGCTTGGCCAGCTGCTGACATGTCCCTGAGTGGCACAGGCACTGGCTCCTGCTGCGGAGCTACGGCCCAGCCTCATACTCTCACTCCAAGGGGCTGCTGTGGGGGCTCTGGCCCTGTGTTTCTGAAGGCTGCCAGAAGATTCTGGCCATGCACTGCCTCTGGCTCTGGCTCCAGCCCAGTGTTCACAGGGGCTTCTGTGGGGCTTTGGCCCCATGCTGACATGGACTGGCCAGGGACTCTGGTCCCAGCCTCGTGCTGCTGTGGTGTGCTGTGGTCACTGGTTCCAGCCCTATGCTCCAGGGCTCTGGCCTTGCGCTCCTGGGAATTGTCAGTAGACTCCACGTGGGGATACTGCGGGACTTCCGCCCTGGCCCTGCACTGCCTGCAGCTGACCCTGTTTTCCCCAGTCCCAGCTGTTCTTCTTGCCCTTAAGCTGCTGGGCTCACTGGTCCAAGGGCGACCAGAGAGTGCCAGTTTTTAGAGATACACCTTATATATGTTATATCATCCCATGATAATTTAAGAAATGAAGTACATGAGCTGTTATAGTTTCCAGATTCAGGAGATAGGAGAATATTAGTTAAAAAAGCTTTCAGTAATACCTGTTGAACCTCTCTAGTTTGGCAACAACTGTGGTCTGGCACTGGTCAGGTCCTGAGGGTGCCAGACTAGAGAGGTTCAACCTGTATCAGGTTGCCATTTACAAAATTGTGTTTTCACAAGTAAAGGAATGCCACAATGAGTATTTCCACTTTAGCCCAGGGGTGGGCAATAATTTTCAGTGGGGGCCACTCCAAGATTCTGGTAAGTGGTCAAGGGCTGCACTTCCTTGGAGGGGGCACAGGGTCTGGGATTGCAGATGGGAGCTTGGGATAGAGGACTGGGAGGGAATTTGGATGAAGGAGGGGGTTATGATCTGGGGCAAGAGCTTGGGGTGCAGGGTCCAGGAAGGGTATTACTTCAGGAGAGGATTCTGGCCTGGGGGAGGAATGTAGGAAGAAGAGGTACAGGGTCTGGGAGGGAGTTGTGACCCGAAAGAAGGCGGGGGACAGAGAGTGCAGAGTTTGGGTGGTGACCTTGGTTAGGGGCTTGAGGTGCAGAGTCATGAAGGGGTATGGGTGCAGGAGAGGATTCTGGCCTGGGGGAAGGGTGTAGGATCTGGTAGGGAGTTGCAATCTGGAGGTGGGAAGAGGGGGTACAGAGGGTTTTTGGTGGTGATCTGAGGCAGGAGGAGGAGGTGGCCTGGGGCAGGGGGTGCCAGAGTCAGGCTCTGGCTGAAAGATGCTTACCTAGGTGGCTCCCAGCTAGGAGCCCTGCAGGAACCTGGGACAGGCTTCATACCTGTGTGCTGGGCTTTCTGCTCCTTGTGGCCCTGCTCCAGCACGGGGAAGGGGGAGTGAGGGAGGAGGCTTTGCAGGATGCTCCTGCCACCAACAAAATTTCTCAGCTCCTATAGGCTGGCAACTGGCCAATGGAAGCTTAGGGGTTTTGCTAGGGGGGCGGGGATGGCATACAAAGTCTCCCGTCCCTCCCCAGTGTGCAGACATTTAGCAGCCCACTGTTTAAAGCAGCTTGAGCTGCTCTATAGTACGGGTGCTAGTAAGGTGGCCATGGACTGGATCCTGTGGCTTGGTGGTCGAGATCTGGACCACTAGCCGCTTCTTGCCCATCTCTGCTTTAGACACAACAGTATGTTTTTTAAAGTAAACAAAGGGATGTAGTGTAACTTTGATGTTTAACTGAAAATTCATGCAAAACTTAATGTTCATTGCTTTCACTTTTTCAGCTCTGGAAGATCAAATCATGACAATACACAAACAGAAGATATAGCACAGGATTCTGATAAAATGCATTGATTGGCTAAACTTCCTCCGAGCAATCACTGAATCTGTGCTTCAGAAGCTCTGGCCTCTTCAAGGATGTAGTTTAGAAAATTGAAGTGTTTACATTTGATTGTCTTGTGCAATCTTTATATTTATTTTATCATCTCACTGTTTTTTATGTTTTAGCTGACATTTGTATTTTATTTTCAAGTATTGGTATGCTCAGTTATTGAAAGGTTTAGAAAACTGATATCCAGCTACTTGAGATCCTGGTAACTGGTTGCACTAAATTACTGTATTGCGAAAACTAACACCAGTGCTAAGCTGTTATATTTCATATTCCATTGATAAAACATATTGGTAGATTTTATAGTATAAATGAGATACTTACAAATAACTTAAAGTACTGACAATACAGTATGACAGGTATTGGAAATATTTTATGTTAACACTAGAACCAAGCTGGTTTCTTACTATTTTTCTCTTGTCATGAGTTCAGGATCTAAACTGATGAAGCTGCAGTTTAAATACCCTTGGATATTAATAAGGTATTACAAAGCAGGTCAACAAGTGCTCTTTGATAACACTTTTATTAGAGCAATAATTGTAAATGGTTAATATACTGTAAGATATTTTGATAAAATTAACTATTGTATTTATTTGAAACACTGGGCTATTTGCACAGATCTGACTGTGCATGCTCAATATGTGCACTTTTTATTGTTACTTTTAATTAGGACCTTTATATATAGTTAAGGGAATATATTATGGTGGACTATGGAACAATATATTATTTTTGCAAGCGAAGTATTTAGACTTCACTTATCAGTGAAAAAGTTAATAGAAGATGGTAACTTATATATACTCAAAAACAGAACAAATATTCTTCCATAGTACCCTATAGTATATGCCATTTATACCACACTTAACTTTAAGAACAATTGTTTAAAGAAAAGTTTGTATGTAATGTAAGTCTCATTTTTTTGACTGGACATACCTACACCTCTTGCAACTATAAAAGTTTGCAAAATCTGTCAGCTAAAGCTAGTTTGCCATGATATTGTAGTTAAAAAATGCTGCTAATGTTAGTATCAAGAAGCTCCTCTTCAGGGCTTTTATTTTAGTTGCCAAGTGTCCATTCTAAGCCCTGATGCTACTTAGGGAGTGTGATTTTGAAGACAGAATTATTCTGGGGTTAACAGTTTAGATTAGTTTAATTGTGACTCATTAATTTCTTAGAATATTAGGGAGTTTTTGAATATGGCAAACCTAGGAATTCATCCCTTCAGAGTTCATTATTTGTGCTTAAACATAGCATCCCACATACAAAACTATTAGGAGGGCCAATATCATGTTTGAGTATCCTTAAGCATTTTACTTTTAGGGGAACACATTTATGATCAGAATTCCAAAAATCATCTGCTTCGGATTGGAAAAGAGTAGAAAATGTATTAGGCTATGTAACACATATGTATACATATGTTTAAAAAATCTGTCATATGTGACACCATACTTACTAATCCTCAGTCATTAAACAGTTGAGGATAATGTGTCTTAAACTTGTGTGGTATAAAAATTTTTATATGTAAAGCAACACAAACAAGCATTTTGTATTTTATTTGCCTATGTACTAGTGTTTAATAATGACCAAAGTGCATTCTGGTTTTGAAAGGAATGTATTACTGGAGCTTTAAGAACATGTTGTACTTAGTTTTTCATGTGATAAATTTGGCTATGTCTGATTTGTTTCTTCTTCCTCTATGTTGTCTGATGTTGGGATTGTTTTTAGGAATTAAGTATATTTTATAAAGTTTTTTTTCCAAAATATGGTACAGACCTACACAGAACTTCATTTTGCACAGAATATATTTTAAGGGGGGTGGGGGAAAAACAGCAAGAACTGTGTAGGGGTAAAAGATGAGGCGGTTTTCACGGCCTGTCACTATAAAATTTATTCCAGAATGGAAATATTTTTGAGAAACTTGCGTTGAATATACTGCTTTTAGTTTAAAAAAAAAAAAACGGTTTGGGTTGAAGATGTAAACTAGTTTCTGACTACATATACCTACCTCAGCAACTAGCAGTATGCTGGATTGTTACACGAACAGTGGGAGCATGGGAAGAATACAATGAGAGTTTGTAAAAGGAAGCAAAGGGTACTTCACTGTAAATCCAGACACATGTAAATTGCTGTCATTAGGTATATCAATAATTCAAGAAAATAAAATGAGAGAAATGGTCTACATCCCTTAATATGGAAAGCTAGTACAAATATAGAGGTAATTAGAAATATGGCAGATCTTGTGTGTTAACTGTTGTTTTTTGCCATGTTTTGTAACTGAAAGTATAATGAGGCTTGGAATAAAGCATTCTGTGGCTGATGGTATAAAACTGTCCAATGATCTGTGTCTCTTGTAACTGTTTGTTTGCGGCCCGTGGGGTGGTTTGAGCAGGGCTCACTCACAGGTGGGGTCCTTTGAATATGACCTCCACTGGGAAAACGCTCCACAACGAGAGCACTGAAAGATGCAAGTGCACAGTCTGGCTGGAACAGACAGTTACAGAGTGTTGGTGTTTCTAGCAACATAGTTTTTGTTCATACATAGTGGCTTATTTTACCAACAAAGAACTTCATGATTGAAAATGTAGATTCCAGGCATAGGAATCTTACCTCTTATTTGATTCATTTCACTAATGAGCGGCATAAGGCAGCACTGAGCACCCACAACCTTAATTTTTCTTTGAGTTATTTGCCAATGTGGATTCTACTTTATGTGCACTTACGTGTGTGAGATGAGATTCATTGGGTCAGCAGTGTCCATTGGGACTGCACCTTCCTCTTACCCAAGGACATAAGACACAGAGCAGGGTCAGCTTCTAGTCTTTCTTCTGACCTCCCATGACTGCAGGACAGAATTCAGGCAGCCTATGCCTCTTCCCCCACAATCCAATTTCTAGAATTAAAGGTTTTTTGCTTTATTAACTACTCTCTCCGCTGGCTTAAAACCAAAACCCAATCTTAGAGCTTGGTCAAATTTTGGAATTTCCATTCCACTGGAAATTCAGATATTTCAAAATTTCCTTTTATCCCAAATCAGAATGAAAAATTTCCCACAAAGCTAAATCCCCAAAATTTTCATTTTGGAAATATTGAAAGGCCCTTTTCAAAACATTTTATATCGATATGGTTGAAATATTATATTTTGACTTTTCATGTTGATTTTTATTACACGCAATATAATGTAATAGATGTGTAACGTATGTGTCAAAATGATATATAGTCAAAACAATCTAGTTCAAACTTGTTAAAAAGAAGCACTTTGATTTTTTTCATTAAAAATGAATTAGATCAGTAATTTCCTGTGAAATATTTCAAGTTAATCAAATCAACATTTTCTGATAAGAAAATTGTGCTCTTGGAAAATGTTGAGCCAGTTACATGAAAAACAATTTTAATATCAACACAGATGTTTACAAAATGAAAATACTCAGGCTTTAAATCTTTTTTCTTTTTTGTGAAACCTCCATATACCTTCATGACAAGTACTCTCTGTGCCTTTTGATCAGGAATAAGGACAGATTCTGGATTGCTGTTCTATTGGCTGCTTATTTTCTAAAGTGTATGCAGAAGGCAAGAAATGTGCAATAGAAGTATTATTAGTGAGCTTTATAAGGACTATTCTGTATAAGCACTATTCTTCATACTTTCGCAGTGCCCTACAGAGTTGTAACTACCCCATGGGTTTTTCCTCCACTAAACTAATCCCAGTTGTTAGCAACTCAGACTTGAAGGGCAAAAAGTTCTTCTTGATCCAGACTCTCTCTCTGTCTCAGAGGAGTAGGAGCAGGAACATCGCTCTGAGCAGATGAAGCACATTCCCTCCAGAGTGGTCATAGTTCTATCGTGTATCATGCTCCCCAGCTGAATGCCATTTATCAGCCTAAATTGGGTTTCACTGATGTCCCATGCGCCACACATGGCATCGTGCATTATTGGTACAAAATTTCTCATTAATACTTGGATTATCATGTGTCAAGGAGTCCCAGTGATAAACTAGAACTCTGTTGTGCTAGGTATTGTAGACATACAGAACAAAAGTTGGTTCCTGAAACAAAGCACTTAGGCTGTGTCCAGACTCCATGCCTCCGTCGACGGAGGCATGTAGATTAGCCAGATCGGAAAAGGGAAATGAAGCCGCGATTAAAGGCCTCCCCCGATCGGCCGATCAGCTGTTTGTCGGCAGATCGGGAGAGTCTGGACGCGATGCCCCGACAAAGAAGCCTTTCTTCATCGACACAGGTAAGCCTCGTGAAACCAGGTTTACCTGTGTCGATGAAGAAAGGCTTCTTTGTCGGGGCATCGCGTCCAGACTCTCCCGATCTGCCGACAAACAGCTGATCGGCAGATCGGGGCAGCCATTTAAATTTAAATGAAGCCGCGATTATTTTAATCGCGGCTTCATTTCCCTCTTCCGAGCTGGCTAATCTACATGCCTCCGTCGACGGAGGCATGGAGTCTGGACACAGCCTATGATTCTAACTATAAGAAAAGACAACAGATGGAAACACGCAGTGATGGGAAAGTACAAGGAAACAGTACAACAGTATTGATCAGAATAATAGGCCATGGTCTCAGCACACCAGCAGCCTAATTAAGGTTTTTGTAGGCATCACAGCAAGGGAGATTTTGAAAGAAGATAATGAATTTGTTGTGGGGAGCTTCTCGCAAGCATGAGGGCTAGTGGGGGAGAAAGCTAAATTTCAAAATAAGCACTTTGTGCATGTGAGCAATGGAGTCTGACATCAGGGGCCAAATAGAAACATAAGTGAACTTTCCTTTACTGAGTAAGAGATAAGGGAGGGTAAGAGTAAATCTAGAAGGGCCTTGAAAATGAATATATGTCATGTTTGAAGCTATAAAGAGGGAGCAAGTGAAGTGATGCAAACAGAAGGGTGACATGTTCAAAGTGAAAGGCTAGGAAAATGATCTTTGCAGCAGTATTTTGCATGGATATTATCAGTGTGGCAAGATTACATTTATCTAGACCAAAGTGAAGGATATTGCAGTAATTGAGATGTGAGGTGAGAGCCTGGATGAGAGTGATCTGAGTGGATGAATAGGAAATGCTCTATCTTAAGAGATGTGAAAAATCTGAAAGACTTTAGATGTAGACTAGGTGTGAGGCTGTAGATGGGGATCTGAATCAAAGATGGCACCCTTCTTATGGACTTAAGTGAGAGGTAGAATCGGTGGTGTCCACAGGGATTGAGAGAGGAGATAAATAGGAAGAGCTGGGAAGAGAGGGAAGGAAGGTTAGAAGCTCTGTTTTAACTATGTTGAGCTTAAATTCATGGGAAGACATTCACAGGATATCATCAGGGAGACAAGCTGAGAAGGTAGTTTGTACAGAAGGAGATAGGAGACGCTACTCTCACAAGTTTCCCTGTGCAGTATAAAATTCTAGCTCAAATATGATCACTTAAGGATCAATCTTGCAGATGATTTTCTGCTGATGGTGATTCTGCAGGATCAATGTCTGCCTCTGATCAAAAAAATCAAGAAATATTAAATACTTCATTTCAGAGAATGTTTGAGACCATGACTACAAGATTAATACAAGCCATTCCATTAACATTGAAGGCCCTGAGTAAAACAGAGTAGGCGCACTTCATTATCTTAATAGCGCTAGTGTAGGCCAGATAGTTTTGGTATTCTCATCTTCTGTTTCTAAAAGGCCAGATTTTTATCTCAGGCTATGTCTACACTACACTGCTCTTCTGGAAAAAGCCATGCAAATTGCAAACAGCAATTTATGTGGCTTCTTCCACTTCTTTTTTCGGAAGGCTTTTCTGACATTTGGTCCATCTACACTACTTTTTTGGAACATCCCTTCTTCATAAAATGAGGTTTACAGGGATGCTGAAAAAGCACGTCTGCTCTTCCAAAGAATTGTGGAGGAGCAGACACTTTCCCTGGATGCAGTAGAGGTTTTCTGGGAGACCTCCAGTATCCCAGAAAAACTCAGTGTTGACATAGCCTCAATAACATCAGGGAAAATTCAGAGCATAATTATGGAAGTTAATAGAAAAGATAAAATAAAAATATTTGAATTGTTTGATACTTTTTTGGAATAGTCTGACAAATTGTCATTTTAAACCTTTGGATCCAGATTCGTGAAGGCATTTAGATGTCTAACTCCTAGGAGCCTAAATACCTTTACATATCTGCCCCTTTGTGTCATATGTAACCTTATTTATATTGGATTAACATAATTATAAGTGAGATTACCATGTGATCCTATTTCATTAAAAAACAATTCATTGAAATGCTTCCCAAACCCCCACAACCCTAGAAATGGGTATTTTGACTTGCCTGTCTCTATCTGCAAAAAATGTAAATGATTTTAACCAGTCTTTCATTTGAGTTGATCATTTGTCAAGTTTCAGCCAGATGCAGTTTGTAATTGCTGAAAATTGGTTTTAAATTGGAAAACCCATGATCTCTGCTATAGCTGTAGTGTTAGCAATGCTAAATCTCACACTATCAATATCTGGGGATCCTTCAGGGAAAGCAATCACATACTGGATTTTCTCTTACATTCCAAGCTTTGGACAAGTTTGAAACTGCTGCAGAGCACTTTTCAGAACAGATCCCTTCCCTTCATTGACTAATAAAAATACTATCAAATTTTGATTAAAGACTCTTCTTCCATTATAAACTATCAATTTGTTAGCATGATAAAGGAGATTATGGGATTCTGGCCATCGAGCTACCGTCGCCACCCTTTCAAAGGTGGCGAGGTATGCCTCAGGATCATCAGCCGGCCCCATCTTAGTTAGCCGTATGGGCAGGCGTGCCACCTCCCCCTCTCCTGCTGGCCCTTCCTCCTCAGGGCATGCTGGACTCAGGGGGGTCACCATCGTCGGTGGATATCGTCTCATCCACTCTTCCTGTTGCGCCTTCATTTGCTCGGCTACCTCCCGGATCAATTGTTTTTGCTGCTCCTGTTGCTGGGTGGTGAGCTGCCGGATCAAGGCTGCCTGCTGCTGTTGGTTTTGCCTTTGGGTCTCCTTAACCCACTCCATGAATTGTGTCGGATCCCTGGCGGGTCCCGGTGCGGTTCTCACTCCCCTTTTTCCGAAAACACCACAAAACACACCCCTCTGTTAGTGCTCCCTAAGCCTTCTCGCACCCCCTTTCCTTTCCCGAGGGGGGGGGGTGGGGTTGTGAGTTTTTTTTTTTTTTTTTTTTTTTTTTTAAAGAAATGTTTTTTTTTTTTTTTTTTTTTTTTTAAATGAAGTGCATGCTTACTCATAGGATCTGCTCATAAACAAGGACTGGTCTGTTCCCTTGGTGAAGCTTATTTGACCTACATTTTTTTTATT